GGGGCGTGGGGCATTAATTCCAGAAATATTTTAGGAAACAGTAGAAAAAGGCTCCCACTTGCTTTGTGGCCAAAATCACAGTCTGGCTTTCTGGAGTTCGGCTCTGTTTGACAGAAGCTGGACACAGTCGGGATTAATTGACGCCAGTGGATCAAATTGTGTATGTGTAAATAGCTAATTGATACATAAACAAAAAAACAATGATGGTTTGAAAGAGAGAACGAGTAAAATAATTCCTTTATACATAACTTGCTTCACATTTTCAGCTCCTGGTACAATCTGATTGGCAGAAAGTCAGGGAACAACAAAGCATAGAATAATAAGCTGTCCTCTGGGTGCCTGGACTAAGATTAGACTAGCCTCTCGAGAGCACGTGTTGTATTTTATTGTGGGGTTTTTCATGCTTTATTTGGTAAAAGCTCTAATGACTGGGGCTTTCTTACTGAGCCTTCTTTGATGTGCCCAGGCCACCAAGCAATGGCAGGCTCCCTCATGCCTCCCTCAAAGGTGGTCTCCTTCCCACAGAGGAAGGGTCCGTTGCTGCCACCTGAGGAGTCAAAAACCACAAAAACACCTGCATCAATCACACGGGACACAAAAGCGAGTCAGAATTAGATTTAAAAAAAGCACTTTGTTTATGAAATAATTGCCTACTTTCATTGGGGCCAGACATAACAGCTGCACCGTTGTCTGAGGTGAAGAAGACAAAGGTATTATTGTCAATACCAAGAGTTCGCAGCCACTTCAAAATCTGACCGATGCTGTAGTCCAGCTCCATCACCGCATCGCCATAGCTGCAGCACAAAGGCAGATCACGTTTTTCACCTTGATACAATCATTTATAACCACTTGCATGACATTGTCTTTGCGTCAATAGGAGAGTCAGCAGGATAAAATGTACCGGCCTCGCTGGCTCTTCCCTAAGAAGCGTTTGGAGGCATAGACGGGTGCGTGAGTGGCATCGACTGCCCAGTAGAGGAAGAAGGGCTGCTGAGCTTTAGTTTGACGAAGTATGAAGTCAAGACCTTCCTGCAGAGGTGGAAGAATACGTCATTACACTGGGAATACAAAAGCCAGGAGACTTACTGCAGCCTCTTTCACAGCATTGCAGTTAAGGTAAGAAGAATTCTCTTTCTCACTCACTAAACACTCAAACAGTGTTTTCAAGTAAAGCAGTGCGTCAGACAAGCCTTCAATAAAACCGCCTCCAAGCAGAGAGCATGGAGTTCAGTTTTTGTTTAAACTGTTTTAGATAGAGACTCATCAGCCTTCTTAGGTATTGTTGTACTAAGGAGTCTCCAACGTGTTGTCTAGCCTGTTGAAATCAATAAAAGCAAACTGAGGAACATCTCTTGATACAATGCAAAACAGTTTCAACAGTTTCAACAAAAACACACATTCTAACTGTCATGTAGGCACAATACTGTATTGTAGTTTTAGCAGTTTATTAACACTGAAACACTGAAAACTGAGCTTGTAACCCAGGAAAAGGATGGTTACAATTAATCTAAAACGCTTTGCTAACTACATTTCAGACACTTACATATGCATCAATTGTTCTTTATTACAAAAAGAGACAATCGTTTTGCACACAGATAAATATTTTACAGTAGATGACTGCAAATTTGCCAGTTATCCAAACAAAACTTAACAGTTACAAAAAGAAATCTGATTTTTGCTTAATGTTCACCAAGTTTTAAGACATGCTGCCTTTCACAGGACCGCCCTCTTCCAGTGATGACACACCCTTCCAACATGCAGTGTGTCTCTGCATGCTGGTTTTGATCATGTTCCAAACTGAATGGGAAGGACTGCCGCAGCAGAGATAATCAGTGCACTTCCTCTGGTTAAATTACAGTAATTATTAAAGGCCAGAATTAGGCTTTACCTGCATTCATTATTTATTTTCAATTATATGTTTTTAATTTTTTCATATTTGGGTGAGCCAAGGTAAAATTCTGTATTCTGGCAGGCAGTAACATTTTGTCCCCACCCTATGAGAGCTGGGATAGGCTCCCAGAAGACAAAAGGTGGGTTAACAAGTTGCTAGTTTAACACAGGCAGGACCGTTCTGTCAACTGCTTTACAAAACATTGCATCAAAATGTGATGTACCTGGTATGAGTATGTCACACTGAGACAGCAACAACAGGTGATCCTTCGCTTACCATCAGGTAGATCTGTGTGAGGTTTGACTCTCCAGTCTCTCTGTCAATCTTAAAGTCCTCATAGAATCTGAAAAAAATAACAAATGTATACATTTCATTGACAACACCTTCGTCCCATCTGAATAACAGCTAAGGTCAAGCTGGCCTATTTATCGTCTGTGTTAAAAACAGATTTAGCAGTAACCTGATTGTGTCATCAGTCTGCCTCCAAACCGACTGAAACTACTGTGGACTATGTGATTAGGAGAAAGGAAGTAAATTTCCCTCCTGTTGAGGGTGTTTGCAGGAAATTTTGGTGAAAGCCATATTTGGGAAGTGTCAGCGAAGCTGAGCAGAGGGAACTGTTATGAGGCGCTGCTGAAGCGTGGCGCGGCAAACAGAGAAGCAGTGACAGGCATCTCTTTCTTACGCTTCACTTCCTCCAGGTGTCCTCGCACACAGCCAACGCAACCTGCCGTCTCTTGAGGGCATGTGTGTGTCTCCCTGTATATGTGCCTACGTGTGTGTGTGCTTCTGTCCAGGGCCCAGGTATGCGGTGCTGATTAAACCCATGGCTAAGCGAAAAACACGCCCGGCTGCCAGTTCCAATGACCCTGAATACACATATGGCTGTTTTAGGGAAAACAAATGGGCGGAAAATGGAATACACAAGAACAGCTGGTACAAAGAAGGAAGAAGGGACACTCAACTCATCCTGAGGAGCAGACAGCCAAACTATTCCACTGAGTCATGGGGAAGGAGATTTGTATATAGATTTTCAGCCTTGCTGTGTGTTTGTGTGTGATATTACCTGCCGAGCATCTCAGAGTTGTTGTAGACAGGGATGTTTGGTATCGACTGGTCGTTATAAGGGCCAAAGTGGCAGTTTGGTGAACCAAACCATTCATCAAAACCGTTCTTCAGAGGAAGATACTGTGGTCTGTGGCCCAGGTGCCTATAGCGACAAATAAAGTGCATTCACACACTAAGATCAGTGTAGCTGAAGATCAACCCATATGTTTTTGTATATTTACTCTTAAGCCCTAGCTATGAAGTCAGATATTCTTGCCCTGATATTTTTTTTCTAAAGGCTGAATGCAGTTTTTTTTTCTGTTTGGATGCAAATACTTACAGTTCTTCACAGTATACTATGTAGACAAATTTTCACATTTTAGAGCCTTAAAACTTGACACTGTGCATCTGCTTTAATGACTAACAAAATATGATGGTGGCATCAAGTAGACTTTGTTCTCATCTTAGCTGCACAGAAAGTCTATGTAATCTTACTTAAAGAAAAGAAGAAGAAATAAGAAAATAAACACTCTTTTTTGTATATTTGCAAATATACTGCACCATATACTTCCACCAGCACTCCTTCCACAACTGATCACTGCTCTCTAAACCTTCAGAGACTTTAAAACCTGAGAAAAGATAAAGAGCTCACCATTTCCCAACTATCTTGCTGACATAGCCCTTTGTCTTCAGCAGCTGGGGTAACAAAATCTCATCCTTGGATATACCTCCTACTATGTCCTGTGGTGTGTATGCTGCAAAAAATAGATCCAGATTTAAGGTACTGAACTTTCCTTTGCTGCAACTATACTGTAAACTGCACAGTATAGATAATGCAGTGAGAAATCAGCAAGAAATTATTTGCACAATGCAAATGCACTCACTATTCCACTTTCCAAACTTCTAGGGAGACTTTTTAGACAAAAACAAAACAAAACAACTACCTTTCAATATATGTAACTAAACGGTTCTACAACCCAAGTCCCAACATGGGTATAAGACATTTAGAAAAATGTCCCGGAGCACTTTCTTTAGCATATTTGGGCTCCACTGGCACATAAATGTGGAAAGTCTCATCCCACAATGCCTGTGTCCATTTTAGATAGAAGCTTTTTATTGTAGATTTTGAAATAATGACTTAATTATTATTGTTCGTTAATAATTATTACTTCATTATTATTTAATTACTTCAGGTTTTTGTTAATATCTGTGTAAATAAGCTATTTCTTTTGTATACTTTTTCGCCCTCGACTTTGTTTCTATTTATTTTATTGAGCTGTTGTTTTTCTTTTGGGATGAATAAATTATTTCTTCTTCCTCTTTGTCTCATTATTATTACATTTTGTCCAAACATGCTGTTATGTTGTGAAATAATTATCTAAGGACTGCAGCTCAAGATAGGGTGGCTGCAGTGAGCTTGTCTGGGTTTAACACCGAGCTGCAGAACTAAACCAGTGAGCAACAAGGACGAACAGCAAGAGGAAGTGCTGTCTTACTGTATGATCTATGCTTAAAAACTAAAATATTATATTAACAACCCCACCCGTCGCATATCTTTTAGTCTATTTTATATTGTAACTAAGAAACTCACTACAAAGTAAGCCTTTTTTTATTATTAATAATAGTTTCATATCGGACTGTATTTAAAAGATGGCTCTACCCCCTATGACATCTGTCCATTTTTGGACTCCTGATTTGAAGCCTCCAAGCTATTGGCTATTTAAACTAATGCAGTGGGCATTGGGGTGGCTCCGTGGCTCTGACTGAAAAACCAGGTGATGTAACTGATGTAAGTGGGACTTTAGGCTATAATTAACTTCAATTATTAACATTATTTATTAACATCTTCGGAACATCTGTTTTCAGCAGCAGGAAACGTTGCATCAAAGTGCAGGTCAAGTCTTAGTTCTGAGAATGTTGATATGTTCGCTTTTCTTCATTGCAACCACCACATGCTCAGTCATTCACCACTTAAACATGCAGACACACACATGCACAAATACACATACACTTGAACACACACCTTATCTATCGCATCCAGAAAATACAATACTATCTGAAATCTTTTTACCTCCTACTAATGTAAGAAAGCTGTCCAAGAAGGCAGACCAAAGTTTCAGTTGAGGTTGTGCGTGTACCTTTTTTGTTATTATGTTATGAGTATTTGTGATTAGAACTGAAGCTATCATTTTATTTTAGTAATCGAGTAATCTATTGATTATTGTATCAATTAATCGAGTAATTGGATAAGAAATACTTTTGCTTTGTTAATGAGCAATAATAAATTGGAGGGGCTGGAGGCTAGTTTTTTGTGCTTCTCTTAACAGATGTTAATATGGTGCATGATGGTATAATTTTAATGTATTATATAAATATTAACCCCTTAGCAGTCCTACAAATTTACAATTAGTCCCCTAAACCATCCAATGTACCGTGGGCGGTACGTCCGACTGCTAACAGGTTAATGTATTAATATTAATTAACACAATATTTAATATTATTTCACTATCAATCTGAAAAATGTCACAAAAGTTTTGTAATTAATATGGTCTAGGTCACCTGATGCCCCCCTTTAGACTCACCCCTGTCTGCTGCAGGTATCACTGCATGGAACATAGGACGGCTGCTGTCAGCCAACAGGAAGCGGTATAATTTAAACAGTCTGGTATCAGGCTAAGTTAACAGTTCATCTGCATATTTTAATACAAATTCTGGAGGCTTACTGCTGATTTTTCGTTGTGAAGAAAAATGGCAGTGGATGTAGCAGGTACAAAGTTTTCTCATCGGGTATTTAATAAAATATTTTCTTTAAAAATTATTTTATTTTAATATAGCGTGTAAATACACTAAATTTTTTGGAATATTTGTTATTTCTCATTAATAAGACAAAACTAGTTATCATCTTATTACCTGATGAATCCATGGAACAGTCAATAATCAATTCAAACTATCAAAAGATGCAGCCCTAGTTTAAAGTTTTTTAATATTCAGACTATAGCCATGTTTTATTTACAGTCTACACATCAGACAAACCTATTATGTGTTTATTTGTTATGCTATGTAAATATACCAATACTGAGGCTTTTTTCTTTCATCTTATCTGGACGCAAACATATATAATAGTTATAAGGCATTAGCAGCAGAGCCTTTTTTTAACCGTGTGTGAGGTACTGCTGAGTAACAATGTGCATTCAGTCTTTTACCACATTTATGGCTTGCTTAATCACATCAAGCTTGCTCTGTCATGGCCTCTGCCACACAGTTGCAAACATTTTGGACATGTTGGCTTCCTGCTCTAAACACAGTTAAGAAAAAAAAATGTTGCTTGCATGATCGAGACAAGTTTTCATGCTCATTTATTTTCCACACTTATCCAGACTTTGACATTGCTAAAAATAAAAATCCATAATATTGCACAGTGCTTATGAACCCTGTACAAAGACATTACCGTTTCTGGCACGGGCATTAGTAGTGTAGAAACCATTTCTGATGGGCAGCCTCCCGGTGAGAAGTGCAGCTCGAGCTGTGGAAAAATAATGATGTCATTAGACAAGTTGAGTATGCATTTTACTTTTCTGACACGCAGATAGAGTGAAATGTGCTCCAATGGAAATGGCCCACATTGAGATTATAAATGGTTTACTGTCTAGCTAGTATTTTGGATAAACTCTTAAATGCAATAAACAAATACAGTTGCCATTATAAAATGGTGCCTCCAGCGTGATGTGTACATTAGCTTATTGCGAATTTGTTTTGTGCAACTACTGACGTCCTCTTTTAGTTAATATTAACAATGCTCAGTGTGTGGACATTTGAAAAAACGTTTCATGAGAAATGCAAGCGCATTGTCATTAAAATTACCAAACTGGTGATGTTGCAGTAACATTTATGATTTTCTGTATACTTTGTTTTGCACAACATATTTTATAATATTTTAAAAATAATGTTCTGTGATACATGCATACTTTCAATCTGTAAATCAGTTGGTCTTTCAAAATGTTAAAAATGCACAACTGATCAATTCAGTTCAGTTGTATTTATATACACCCAAATCACAATCACCTCAAGGTGATTTTTATTGTAAGCACTTGGTGACAGTGGGAAGGAAAAACTCCCTTCTAACAGGAAGAAACCTCCAGCAGAATCAGGCTCAGGGAAGCGCAGCCATCTGGCATGACTGGTTGGGGGTTAAAGGGAGGAAGACTGGAAGAAAAGAAATTATATTATCCACTAAAACAAGAAATGCCGGTTTATGTCAGTGTTACATCATCTGCTGACTTACAGGGGGAGCAGAGAGGGTTGGCAGTGTAGAAGTTTGGTAGGAGCATCCCTTCAGCTGCCATGGCATCCAGATTAGGGGTTTCTTTAGAAGGCTGGCCAAACACCCCCAAGTCCCCCCAGCCCATCTGAACAGTAGAGGTAAGTTTATTACTCACTCCATACATATGCAGTCACATTTAGATTAGAGTTTACAGCCTGCTGTTTACACGAAGTAAAGGTGAATAAGTTACTTGAATAGCAGCTGCAGCCAGCACAGAACGACCCGAATAAAACCTCACAGGTTTAACGAGAAATATGCAGCTCAGCCTGTCTCTTACAGTACTGCAATCTGAGGTAAAATTGTAACTAAACATACAAATCAATAGAAGAAAGAAGAAGAGAAAAACTCACGTCATCCATGAGCATGATGATAATGTTTGGAGTTGGAGCGTTTGGTAGGTTTTTTGTCCAGGAACAACATATTATTGCTCCAAAAAAAGTTATCAGAGTTAGAGCAACCATTCTTCCCATGGCTGTGCAGAAGTCATATGAGCCTCCACTACAAGGAAGTGTTTTGTTTGTCTTCGTGCAAGTTTTCAGCGCAATATTTGCGCATACAGGAAACAGCCACTCTTAAGATGTTTGCTAGGATTTATTTACAGTTCACTGAAATCGCTTCATCTTTTTCTAGTTTAATTTCTCTTATATATGACTACGGTAGCTTTATATTGTGTTATTAAATAAACAAAAAAATTGCTTTTTGGAGTATGCTGCATTCAATGACTGCTGATAAATCTGACTTTCACGAAATTACATTTCAAAATATTCGGATAAATGACAAAAAACTAATCTCATAAAATATAATTTAGCTTACAAATGGAAATATTACTATATAAAGATTATAAGTCAACTATTTAAGCACACGGTATATACAGCATACAGGAAAAACTGGCATTCAATGGGGGGCTGCTTTCTACTCCTGCTTTACGGGTTATAACTGAATGCAACGTATCACGTGACCGCATCAGACAGCTCACAAGATGAACACTAACATGGCGGTGTGCATAGCTGTGATCGCAAAAGAGGTAATGATTGTTGTTATATATCACAGGTTTTATTTCCGTGTTGTGGCCATAGGTTAACCTTATATTGATAGACGTATCTAAGCACATGTTAGCTTTGTCTGAACGCAAGTTTAAATGCACCAACATGGCTATCGCCTAGCATTAGCTAGATTACCTGCTGTTACAGTTTTCTGAATCTTTCCCGAGCAAGTGCTACAAAGACGATGCCTTTAATGTTTTTTTTTTTGTTGTTCTTCTCTACATTTGTATGTGTTTTTGGCAGAATTACCCGCTATATATCCGCAGTGTTCCCACTCAAAATGAGCTGAAGTTTCACTACACAGTACACACCTCTCTGGATGTGGTGGAGGAAAAGATCTCAGCTGTGGGCAAAGCCTTGGGAGACCAGAGAGAGCTGTACCTGGGTCTGCTTTACCCAACAGAAGACTATAAAGTGTATCCTTTACTTTTAAGTAATTTTACTGTTTGTTTTGGTGGGAGCTATCCGTGTACTTACATCACGTTTCTTTCACTAAGGATAGAAACGTGAAAGATGTGAAATGACACATAAGGTGAGAGTATGATCTCACCTTAGACTAATTATCTTATTACATAAAATATAAATAAACCATTACTCTTCAAAATAGTGTACAGAAGTATTTGGCCACGCCCATTTCTTTATATTTTGCTGGGAAAATCCTAACAAGCTATTAATAAGTCAGTATTTTGTATGACCGCGTTTATTCTTCATCAGAGCCTGAACTCTTAGACAACCTTTCTTGTAATCATCTTTAAACACTTTTCCACCAAAACCATTTCAGATGACTGTGTAGCAAATAATGGGTGGATCCATGCTGAAATCCTTATAAACCAGACTTCCAGATTCTTCTCTTATCATTCTACAAAAGCAGAAGTTGTCTTAGCTGGAATGTTTGGTCTCAATGTTTCCTGAAGAAAACACAAGTATCCTTGACTTGTAAAATAGATATGGGTATGTGACCAACTCAAAGGTGAAATTTGTAATTGTTGTTGACTCATCAAATACATCTCTGCGGGATAATGAAATAAGAAGTGTAAGTTGAGTTTGCTAAGCATCTACACATTTTCAAACAGAGCTGGATTAAATAGAATCCCGATGACAATTAACCTTACATTTCAAAGTTTAGGATGCACTGTACACAACTAGAACAATACTTGATTACGTCTTGTCGAGATGAACATAATCAACTTTTTGGGACTTAATTGGAACATTTCTGTACAACGGACGCTGGTTTAATTTTCAGATGTTCAGGAAGTTGCACAACTCGTTTACTGACGTTATGTGTAACCCGTTCCACAATCCTGGAGACACCATTCAATCCAAGTGAGTATACGCTGATGTTGCATTTGATGTCCCCCATTTATACAGTGATATTTAACCAATAATCGATCCTCCTCCAGGGCCTTCGATGGGATTGTTTCTGGAATGATGGTACAAACTGCCTGATGAATCTTTTACCCAGTCTGCTGATCCTCCACTGTACATACACACCCTTTATTTTATTTACTTGTTTCTTTAATTATGAAATACAACTGTAATAAAACTGAACTGTTAGACATCACTGTGTGTTATTTTACTACAAGTGGAACACCAGATCATTTTTATTTATTCACATACATAGCAAAGAACTTAAGTTATACATAAGGGGAAAATTTGTAGATTACATTGCAGGCAGCAACACAAAACATTCGTCAATTTGTAAAAACAGAGATGCAACTGCATAACATTTCGAGGATTGTCCCATGCATTCACAGCAACATAAGCTAATAAAGCGACATCTCTGAATTATGCACATCTCACCTTCATCACTGTGGTCATTTATGCACCTCTCATAATTACCAACTTGATAATGGATGGAAGAATGTTTAAAATGACTTGTGTCACTTCTATCCTCCAACTTTATGCTGCGGGTAGACCTAGCGCTGCTGGGGGTAGTGCTGTCCACTCGACCCTGCCCCTAACTCCTCTGATGGTGGCGTGATAAGCAGCAGACATGGGTAACGTTTAGATGTCTGCTCATGGTAGTCCATGTGTCCCCACTGTCTTTTCCCCACTGGGGCTCCTCCGTAGTAAGGGTGGGGTGTTTGATGTTGTGGCCTGTTCGACTGGTAACGGAACCTGCCTCGAGAGCTGTTATGGTATCGGGGTGGACGGTAGCCACGACCTCTGCCTCTGGAGTGGGCGCCTCTGTGCCCTCCTCTATCAGTGGTGCTGATGCCTGGCATGTTAGTCCTCTTGGGCATTACCTGCAAGACAAAGGAGGCGCTTTACTGGTTAGGACTAATTTGGTTAAAAAGACAAAAAAAAAAAAAAAAAAGCATAGTACCCCCTCACCTTTAAGACTCTTCCTCTGAACAGAGTCTCATGCAGTCCAATGGCACTCTGTACAGAATCTCGATCGGAGAACTCAATGTAAGCAAAGCTGTGAAGATCAGAAAAGATAAAAAGCACCAATTAGATATGGAGCCAACCTTCATGTAGGTGTATGCTATGATCAAACAATGTTAGGCTGCAAAAAATAAAAAACATATAGATATATAAATACAGACTGAACCCACCCCTTAGGATGGCCGGAGAACCTGTCACACAGAATGGTTACTCTGTTGACAGGACCACAGCCATTGAAGTGGATCTCCAACTCATCTGCAGTGGCTCCATAGTCTACCTGAGATTTATTCAGTGTGTTAGACCAAAACTGTGACACCCCCCAAAAATATCCAAGTGTAGAAATGAATGTTCCTTACATTTCCAACATAAATCGACCTGTTGTCTGCGTCTATCCTCTCCTCGGGAGTCATGTTGTAGAAAGGTCCTGTGGAGGAAACAGACTTTGTCCACTGCTTTTGCACATGCAACACAGGGAACGTGCAGTCTACATGAGTCATGCTAGGTGAAACTAACAATGATTACATTCACCAATATTATCTCTTTGACAATACACATCTCAGTCTGGCTCTTCTCTGACTGCATCTCTGCTCAGAGCAGGAACCAAAGAGGAGGATGGGGGGGGGAGGGAGACGCACAGAGGCAGAAAATAGCCACAGGCAGCGAGGAGGACACTTCTGGTTCTCTGGGGCTCACTGCTTCGTCTCATTGGGCAGTGATGAGGCACAACACTCGCAACCACTGTGAAGCGTCCCAGGTGTTGGCCAGATGGAGAAGAATGTGGTTATCTCACCTGCCTGGAGGCTGTAATGCTACACACACCTGGCTAAAAATACACTGTTGAGGCTTCTTGCATGCATTTAGCTATGCAGCTATACAATGTGGTACAACAAAGCACCGCTCCACAGATGAGATGCAAGCTGTCTCACCAGACTGAGGGCTGCTGGTCAGGAGCTGCATGTCCACTGCATCACACCTCTCCTCCTTCAGTCTTTCTGATTCTTCTTCCATCTCCAGCTCCTGCACCCTGGCCTTGATGGCCAGCAGCTCCTGTGACACAACCAAAAAAGTAAACTTGAAGAAACTTTGGACTAAAGTAAGACGCTCAGCAATGATAGCAAATTAAACAACTTTTAAACAGATGCAGAAACATTTGAATCTTATGGGTAGTAGTACAATTAGTGCTCTCCAACAGCGACATTAAAACAAAATTAGACATTTTTTTTATGTTCATTTGCAGTTTGAGGTTAGAGGCCGGACAGATTTTGTCAAAAGGTACATTGGCATCTTCTGGAGGCTAGAGGGCATTGCTTATTCCTACTGGGTTAACTTTAGTTGGGAACCTTCCCAGATTCACTGATCTGAAAGTAGGCTTGTTATCCGACTTGTGATACAAAGATACTGATTTTTTTTTTTGTCCCTCCTATGTTCCCAATATCTACGGCATATTTACATATACATGAACTAATCTCCCTGAAAAAAACAAACATGTTCAAATTGAGCTGTCCTGATATTTCTGGGCAGCAACGTAATCTAATCACGCCTGAAGTGCAGCACAAAACGTAGCTATAACCGCACTTAACCCGGACCTACAATGCGCCGAGTGGCCCAGCTTTTCACTCTGCATCTTAGATGTGGCTCAGTGGTGCTCTTATCACACAACGTTTGTCGGGGATATACAATACGACACTGCGTTTGCGCTCGTTTGCCTAGCGTGACGAGCTTGGTTTATTGCACCGCGTCGACATATAGCACACAAGCAAACAAATAAGCCGTGTCAAACCTGCTTTTTGCCCACCGCCAGCACAATAATAGCCCATGCTCACCGGGTCCTCCGTGAATAGCTCTCCGATGGACTCGCCCTCGAGGTAGCCGTACTCCAGATGATTTTCCGCCATGCTTACTGCTCACACATAGCATCTGCAAAGCTGACTGCAGCTTGCCAAAACCGCCACAGAAAAATATCCCTGACAGGGAGGAACCCGGTGGACGGTCCGCAAACAAACGCGACTGCACAATTTGAGGTAACCTAATAGATATCACCTGTGAGTGAGGCGCAT